CCAGATCGCAATACAACCTTCCTGTATCGCGATCTGGGGGGTCGCACATAACATTTTTTTATCAAGTACTAGATTGCGATCCACAATCCCGTATCGCAATCTGGAAAGGTTGTGCCCAGTTTTCTAGGCTGCCAGATCGCGATCCTAGAAGCTCGAATCGCAATATGGGCACAAAAATCGAGATCATATATTTTACTTTGTTTTCTTACTACAAATAGAAAGTCTTTTTTTTTTTTTTTAATCTCAGGACCTCTTTTTCGGTTTTTCTTCGCGAGAAGCTTTGACGAGAGTTTCGACTCGGGTTTTGTATAAGCTTTTTCTTTACGTTTAGTTTATGATTTCTCGTGTTACGTTCTTCATTTTGGTGTTATGTTTGTAACAGAGAATTTTCTTTTAGGGAAATGAAACCTTGTATATATTAATTTTAATTTCCAGATCTGTGATTTATTTGTCGTTCTTTGATTTTGTTTATGTTTTCATGTATTAAATGCTTTCGATTGTTTGGCCAACAGTTGAATTGATTGTAAATGGGAATGAACTCGAGAGAGGATTTCACGTTTGATTTTAGGAAAACATAGCTCGGGTTGTGGAAACGGAGACGTGATGCACCTTGAGTTGCCCTTAAGGACTTGACCTAAATGCTCTCTTAATATTAGGTTCTGAACGAAGACGTCGGACCTGTGGGTAGACTCTAACTACACTAGAGACGGGGGTTAAGGTATTTTAGTGTCTGGGTTAACGAATATACAATTAACATTAGATTCGGATTTGTAGATCTTTATCGATAGTACATTGGTGGATTTTACCCTAAAATCCATCACACGTCGGAATTCCTCGCTTGTACGGGCGGACCGTTGTTTTTATTTATTGTTTCTTTTTAGTTTCATTTCTTCTATCCATTCTTGATCGTCTAGATAAAGTGTAGGATAGTATAATTACGGTAGTTCGTAAATTTAGGAACTTTATTCCCTGTGGATCAATATTTGGAATTCACTATTCTACAAAACGCGATACTATACACTAGCTGTTTTTCATACGTAGGTTTTACGCATATCAAGTTTTTGGCGCCGTTG